GGGGTATTGGGTTCTCTGGGTAACGCTCTAAGCACTGCACGCTAGGCGCCTAACCCTGCCTTGATCCATAAACCCGAAACCTCAAAGTGGGGCTCAGTACCTTCGTCAGCTCGTCAGCCTTCCCCCGGGGGGGGGGGGGGGGGGGGGCGGGGGCTAGAGTTTAGGGGGTTGTAGGTGTATGGGGTTTAGAGTTGGGCCTAGGGTTGAGGGTCGAGGGTGTCAAGACCCAGAGCATCGCAGGGTTTGCAGCTTAAGCCATCTAAGAATTATGCGGCATGCACGTGACGTATTGTATAATTACAGTCGGCGGTTCGGCAATGTCTCCTCAAAGACACCTACCTACTGATAAGTTAGGGTCTAGGGCCTACGGTTAAGGTTTAGGGTTTAGGGCTAGGGTTTAGGGTTTAGGGTCTAGGGTATAAAGTTAAAGGGATTCTGAAGCCTTGTCCATTCAGGGTGAAATAAACCGTCGCCCGGAGTGTGTTGCTCACGGTCCAAGTCCAAACAAACTTGCACCTTCTCACTTCATGGAGGGGTCTAGACTCTAGACAGTTCGGACAGTAGTTAGGGTATGTCTCACTACGCATAAGATATATATATATATATATAAATCCTAAACCCTAAACCCTAAACCCTGAGGAGACAAACCTCCACATTCCGCAAGACTCGGCCATCAACCCTCAACTCGAACGCCGTAAGCCAAGTTTCCAAGAAGCATTCGCCGATGTCCACCTCGCACCATAGAAGATTTGGGGTGTAGGTTTTAGGGTTTAGGGTTTAGGGAAATAACCATGGGGGTGCAAGGCTTTGGGGTTTAAGGCTTAGGCTTATTGTGATGGATAGAGACACATTCTTTGCAGGATGAATATTCTGAGCCCTACTATGGACCGAAGGAGCACTCTGAACCCTACACACGATGAAAGCCCCCCGCAAACCTTGTACTTAAACCCGATTGCCCCTCTTCACGCCACTAACGCTACAAAATAAATACCCTAGCAGCCCTGAAAGCCTAAATCCGCAAAACCCTGCAGGCTTAAGCACTCTGATGCTCATGCTGCGGGCCTTTGGGGAGCCTAGAAGGCAATAAAAAACTCTGGGAAAGGTCCCGGGTTTTCTGCTTGCGCTGCCCGCACCTGGCGCAGCCCTTAAATATGGGGTACCGAGTGATAGCACTAGCTTATCTAGGGCTTCAGACAGTTCAGAACACCCTGAACTCTGAAGTGCCGTTATTGTTTGGCCAGATCTTTTTGAGACCACAGAATGATCGCTTCCCCCTAACACTAAACCCCCCCGGAGCAAAAAGCTACCGGCCCCAGAATTTCGTGGTATCGGGCCCACAATTGAAAGTCAATTGAAAACACTAGGGGGGGCCTAGGGATTGTATTACTTTTAATAGAGCCAAGACTGCAGTAGCACTAAACCAAAAGGACCAGTGCTTTAGGGTTTAGGGGTTAAGGGCTCGGGGCTCAAGGCTTTAGGGCTTTAAGCTTTAGGGTTTAAGGCTTTAGGGTTTAAGGCTTAGGGCTTAAGGCTTTGGGGTTTAAGGCTTTAGGGTTTAAGGCTTTAGGGTTTAAGGCTTTGGGGATTAGGGGTTCAAGGCTAAAGGCTGTAAATAGGGCGATTAAGGCTCAGGCTACAGTCTGATTACAGTAATCCCACTCATACCCGCATGCGCCGGAACCACCGCCCCAATATAAAAACTCAACCCCCGGATGTGAGTTTCTATATTGCGGGGGTTTAATATTTGGAGGGAAGAGATTATACATAAAACATGTACATGTGTGTATATATACATATATGTACATGATATGTATATGTGTGTATATGTGTGTGTATATATATATATATATGTATATATATATATATATATATAGACAGAGATTTCAGGTTTACGATTTGGGGGTTTAGGGTTTTTAGGTCTTACGGGTTTAGGGGTGTCATGGTTTAGGGGTTTAGGGCCGTTAGGCTTTAGGGTGTTCGCGCGTTAGGGCTCTAGGATCTTAGGGTTTAGGGTGTTAGGGTTTAGTGTGGTATTTAGGGTTTAAGTTTTGAGGGCTTAGCGCTTAAGGCTTTGATGACTTATGCTGTATTGCTCTTGTCTTGTCTGCATGGTATATTCTATTCTGATACTGCTGTTCTCAGTACGATTAGTGCTGGTGCTTGGTCTGGCATCCGTTTTCCTTCCGTGCATTGATGCACGAGCCTGGGGATATCCGGTTTCAGGTCTACTTGCAGATTAAGCTCCCGCCTGCAACACAGGGCTCCCACGCGTAGCGCCCTTGCCTCAGTTCAAGCTAACCAAACACCCTACGGGATCGAAAAAGTAGCATTCCAAAAAACCGATTTGAAGCCAATCTCATACTCTATTGTGTATATCCTCTCCGGAGTCGGGCTAAGATGTACCCCTAAGCTCTAAGGTGGATGCGGGAACGTTCAGTCGCCACTACGGGGATATGAACTGAGCTCGCCCAAGTAACAGCACCCAACCTAAACCATGAACCTCAACCCATCTCATTCAGCCCTAAACCCTGAACCCTAAACGGGTTCTCTGAGTGCAGACATTGTCGAACTGAGGTATCGGGATGCGGATCATGCGGCCAAACAGACAGTGTCGGCAAGTAAAACTGCAATTGGACTCCGACTATCAGAGAGTGGTGTGGGGATCCCCTTGACAGGACCTGTCACATACCGCCTAATATAGGGGCCTAAATAATTACCAATACTATTTTGGTGGTGCCTCATTATAATGATAGTATAATGTACCCCAAAACCCTATTCTAATTATTAAGGCCCCTATACTACTCCGGTTAAAGCAACCCTTCAGCTGCTGCTCTAGGAACGAACCGAAACCCCCATAATTAAGCAATATACCTTAACTCCTAATATTAAGGCCCCCTATAATATTCCTTAATTAAAGGGCATTGGGTTCTCTGGGTAGGAACGAACCGAAACCCCCCTGCACCTCGAAGCCACGAAGCCTCAATCCGAAGTTAAGAAGCTGGAGCCCCTGTAACACCAAGCGGTAGGATCCACAGTAAGATTAGGATATAGGGTTTAGGGTTTAGGGCTTAGGGTTTATGATGCCAGGATTAGGGTTCCCAGTTCAGCTAAGGGTTTAGGGTCTAAGGTTCAGGGTTTAGGGCCCAGGGTTTAGAGTTTAGGGCCCAGTTTAGGGCTTAGGGTTTAGGGTTGTGTAAAACAGCCTCCCAGATTACATCCTAAACCCTAAACCCTAAACCCTAAACCCTAAACCCTAAACCCTAAACCCTAAACCTAGATTACATCCGCAGAGCCCCCCAAGGCCCGAAGGGCCTTTGACGATGGACTTGATGGCCGTGCTCAGAAGAAGGTCAACCTGTCCACAAGCGCACAGTAACCACAGGGGCCTTACTTGGAGGGTCGGGGGCTTAGTAAATGGTTATTTTATAGACTTATAAGTACTATAACCCCAATTAGGGTCCCTTCTAGGGTACTTATAACTCTACTTAATACCTACTTACTAAGTCCCCCGACCCTCCAAGTAAGTTCCTGTAAAGGGTTCCTTAAAGGGTTCTATAAGGGCTACTATAAGGGTTTAGGATGTAGGGGCCTGAATAATTTGTAGTAGGGTTTTGGGGTACATTCTACTATACTTACAATAAAGAACCCCCAAATAGTATTATTAAACTGCAACCCACTCGTGAGGACGACAACTACAACACCACGAACGATGCGGAGAATCAAGCTGATACAAGCCTTAACGGTTTGGACTGTAGGGTTTTGGGTTTTGGGTTTTGGGTGGCCTTAACACCAACCATCATGCCAATAAGAGTTGAATGAGAATGCGCCTACTTATGCTATTGATGCTGGCACGAGCAGCAACACTAATGACAAGAGATGCGCCACGCATACTGTCAGAAACACTCGTGGGACTTCTGGTTTCATAAAGCTGGATTTCGAGGCCCCTCGAACCTGCTTAATTGTTTCGGATAGAAAAGCTGGGCCCCCAAACCTAAAGAGTCAACCCCATGCCCTAAAAACCACGCAAAAGTCGTGAATCGTAAACTTTACCTGCGAACCATTAACTCGAAGCCCTCTTCCCAAGAGACTCCGAAACCCCCTAATGAAGGAATATACTTTAAATCACATTAGCCAACATGATTTTAAGGTACAGTCCTTAATAAACCCGTAAACCCCGACCCCTAATCTCCTAAACCCTAAACCCCTAATACCCTAAACCCTAAACCCTAAACCCTAAACCCTAAACCCTAAATCCTAAACCCTAAACCCCTAATACCCTAAACCCTAGGGGCTTTGCAGTCTCTGGGTTCCTGCTCAGAATCGTACGACACTCAAGATCCAATGGCCCCTACCTCGGAAGCCTCAGAGCTCCTTCGTAGCAACATGTAAAGGATTTAGGGTTTAGGGTTTAGGGTCTAGGGCTTCGGGCTTAGAGTTAGGGTTTAGGGCTCAGGGCTTAGAGTTTAGGGTTTAGGGTTTAGGGCTGAGGGCTTAGGGCTTAGAGTTTAGG